CTGGGGACTTTGCTCAGCCAGTAATATGCTTGCTATACATGAGGGACCTGAGTTTGGATCCCCAGCACCTACATGAAAGAGTTGGCATATGCTTGAAATCTCAGGGCTTGAGAGGAAGGGACAAGGAGGCCCCTGGAGCTTGCAGGCTGGTCTGTCTGAAAAATCAAGGTAGAGAACAGCACCCAGCATGGACCTCTGACCTTCACATGCATGTGCACATATACACGTGTACAGCTAGACACTTACAAACATGAACACACAGGCATGCAAAAGAAAGAACTGTTTTGGAATTTATTTACTCGACAAAGACCTCTACTATTCATTTTATAAACTCCTTCCTCACTCCTTTTATATTTCATGGACAGAGCAATGTAGTTACTCATTATGGCCAGTTTACACAAAGTACTCAGAGGGGTTGTTATTCCTGGCACATGTAAGGAATGAAAATCTAAATGATTCTGCTCCAAGCCTAGTACTATCTTCCTTTAGCTGCATGGCCCAGCCTCTCTGGGCCCTATCCTCTGCTGAACCATCATAGTGGGCTTCCCTGTGTCGAGGCAAGCTGAGGGAATCTGTCCTGAAAACTCATCTAGTATTTGTGGAGGGAATCCCTCTGTGAGATCAGTCTTGGCTGTGTTTGGCTTGGTGCATGCTAATGCTTCCAGAGATAAATTTAAGGCTTGTGACTCTTCTTTCTTCCATAGCAAATAAATGCCTTTGGGTTTCCCTGTATATAAGTGGTGATTTAGGCATCTTCCAGGTTAGTAAAGAGTAAACCCTGTTGAAGGCCTTATCTCCAAAGTCATACTTTCCAGGGACACCAGAACCCAGAGTTCCCGTCCCCTCTCGTGGCATGTCCACTGGCCATCAGTAGGTGGATGCCTGCCAGCATGGAAATTATGGCTTTGGAAGGGGGCTGGAGGAATGTGGCTGGCGCCCAGCCTCTTCTCTTCCCATTCTACTGGAAGGTTGTGTTCATTTGAGCTTTGAAACCAAAAATAAATCATTGTAATCCATTTGCTAATTATACCATGTGAAGTTCTAGACGCTGTAAATTGCAGCTGCGATATATCTAGATGAAGTTTTGGGAGTTTATTTTTAGTGATACCAAAGCTCTTGGCTTCCTGGAGGCTTCATTTGCCAGTCTGGGAGGGGATGGGGAGCTTCATGGACACAGCCCTATTGCCCTGCTGCTGGCCTCTGTGGGAGGGGCTGGTTGTATGGTGATGCCTGAAGCCCTTTCTACCTCCAAGTTCTAAATATGATCTTTTGACTGTGGGAACTGGGATGCATCTGAATGAAGGCTTCCAATGCTTAATTCACCTGGAGAGTGTCAAAAAGCAGCTCACTGACATGTTTGTGAGCCACAATGCACAGGCTTTCAGTAATTTCATGCCCACAGGAAACATCCTCCCTGTTTATTTTGGAATCTTCACATATTTGGAATGGGTTTGGTACTCATTTAGCACCCTGTATTTGCATCCTCATTTCACTGAGACTTGCATTTGGTGATTTTTGAATGCCCACACCATCTTATCTCAGTCACTTACTTACATTTGTGTGCCAGACCCTAGATTTGGTTCTGAATGCACCAGGAATGAATCGTTTGCATCCTTGAGCCCAGCTATGAGAGAGGGAGGGGAGGCCTGAAGTGAGGATGCTGCAATTCCTCTTGAACTGTGACATTCATGATGGATGATGGGATGCCAAGTGTGACTTAGGGAGCAAAGATACTCTGGAGTGAAAGTGGGTTCATTTACACCTCTTAGGGCAGGAGAAGCCGAATATCTCAAGAATGAGGAGGCATTTGAGTGTGGCTTGATGTGTAAATAGGATTTTAAAATGTGGAGATTGGGTAAGGAAATTGACAAGACCTGGTTTAGTAACCTTGGCAACTGCCCTGGCCAGATCATGTGAAAGGCATCCATGCCCAAGTGCTGAGCTGAACTCCTCCCTCACCCAAGCACCACAGCTTCTAGTAAAGTTCCTTCCATTAGAACAACAGCCTGATATAGTTTTTCAAAGGGTGAGCATTTAAAAAAATCCTTAGGATGGCTGGAGAGATGGGTCACCACCTGATGCACTTCTCAAGGGCCCTTGTTCAAATCTCACCACCCACAGCCATCTGTGGCTCTGGTTCTAGAGGACCCAATGCTCTCTTTTGACTTCCATGGGTCCCAGTCATGCATGCAGTAATATACAGGCAAAAGACTCATACATATAAAATAAGTAAATAAAATAAAGAACAACAATCAAAAAAGAAGGAAGAAAGGAAGAAAGAAAAAAGAAAAAAAGAAAGAATAAAACCAAGAAAAAATTCCTTGAGAACAAATCCTTTTGGCTGCTTCTAGTATTTAGACTTCTGAAAAACCAATCTGCTCTGTATGTGCAATTCCTAGGGGTAAGACACCAATGGGTGGCTTCATATGGAGCTATTTCACAATGAGGGATGGGAATAGTTTCATTGACTTGGCTTGGCAAGAGCATTGAGGAAGGAAATATGAGCAGAGCCTGGACCAATGAATGGTTTGCAGACCAGAAGCCTTGTAAGGGAGGCATGGCAAGGTGAGGGAGGATGTATAGCATTGTTGAGAGGTGGTAACCCCAGAGTCGAAGAGCTAGGAGAGAGCAGGAGTGAGGACCGACCAGCTGAGCCCACATTGGTGTGGATTAGATGGAACTGGAGTTTTTCTCCTAATGTGCCATGTCTCAGCTGAGTGGTCCTAGGAGCTCATAAAACTTTTCTAGGCTTCCATTTTCTCATCTGTAAAAAATAAACAGTAACATCTACTTCTGGTGGTTATTGTGCAAATGAAGAGAAATAAAATAATGTTAAACACAGTAACAGGCATGTACTTAGTGTGCTCTTAATAAACGGTGGTTTGAGGCCATTGTTCTTTTTTAAATAATTCCAGTGAAACTATGGAAATTCAAGTTCAAACCACAGAGATTCCTTTGAAGAGAAGAAGGGCTGGGAGAAGTGAGCAGCATAAATGCTGAGGCAGGACAGTTTCCAGAAGGGTGGGTGGCTCCTGCTGCAGATGCTCAGAGAGGTTGCCATGAATTGATAATTTGCAGTGACATCATTGTGATCCTGATGAGAAGGGGTGAGAGCCACACCACTGTGATCTGTGATAAGTGAGTGTAGGTGTAGCAGAGAGATGCAGACAGCTATCTCAGCTAAGCTGAGCATCGGATGGGGGAGGGACAAGGTCATGGAAAGGGCGTTTGCTAAGGGAAGAGTGTTGGAACTCTGTCAGCTCAATGCTTCTCTGCTTGCCACCCACTACCTAACCCCAGCCCTGTTCCAGAATTATACCTGCCAAGGAGATTGCCTCTGAATTTCCCTCCTGGAGTTGTATATTAAAATCTTGTCAGAATGTAATCTTGGAATGAAGCAGGTTAGAAACGAGGTCAGCATTGCAGGTGATCAGGAAGGCGGATCTCGAGGGCAGTGAGAAGATGTATCTGAGCAGGGCAAGGAGTGACTGAAGGAAAAAGAGGAGAGATCCAGGTTCCAGTTCTCAGAGCTGAGGGACTATCTGTATTCCCCTGTGTCACTGGCTTCATTGGCAGTATCCTACCCCCTACCTCTCTGAGCAACACCACAACTTCCATTCAGACAGACTTGGTTTGTGACAGATGTGGTCATTATTTTGAAACTCAAATGCTTGGTGAGCACAAGCTGCTGGTGGTAATATTATTATAAACAAAACTAGTCCAACCTGGACTGCTTTCTCTTGTACTCTGTGTTTGTTTTGTCTTGTTTGTTTGTTGTTGTTGTTGTTGCTATATTGTTTGTTGGTTGATTTGTCATCACTGGAACTAAGAGCAATTTTAAGTTATAAGAGGGTTGCTCATAACCTCTTTCATGGGTAAGGAAATGGAAGTGTAGCAGGGGCTGCTGAGGGGGCCTGCAACTAGAGTACTTGCCCAGCATGCACAAAGTTCTGAGTTCAATCCCCATTTAGTACTCAGGAAGTAGAAGCAGGTGGAGTAGGTGTTAAAAGTCATCTTCAACTACTTAGTGAGTTTGAGGCCAGCCTGGACTACATGAGGCCCTGGGTGGGAAGGAGGGAAGGAGGAAGAAAAGAAGGCAGGAAGCAAAACAGAAGCTAACATGAGATCACACCAGCATAAGCATTCTAAGCGTAGGTGAAACATTTACAGAAGTTGACTACATTTGAGTCCATAAAACATTTCCCAATAAGTTTTAAGAATTCAGAACCCTACAAACCACATTCTCTCACCACAATGCAATTAAGCTAAAAGTCAATAACAGGAAAATGAGAGGTTTGAAAAAAAACTGTATTGAGAGAATTTTACAAACACACTACTAACTCACTCATGAGTCAAAAAGAAATGACAATAGAAATTGTAAAATAGTTATAAATGAACAATCAAGGAAATATTAAATATCAAAAGTCATGGAATATGGCCAAAACAACACTTAGAGGGGAATTTATGGTCTTCAGTGCTTATATTAGAAAAAGAAAAGGGCTAAAAATTAATGAATGGTCTATGTATCCAATTTAAGCACAGCAGCGGTCATAAATCAGCCAGCTTAGAGCTTATGGTAGCAGCAGAGCCAGGACTCTGGCCACAGATATGGCTGGCCCAGCATCCCTCAGTCATATTCCTATACCACAGACATGGCTTCGGGGCTGTTTCTCACAATAGGCTCAGTGCCTTCCAAAGAGTTGAAGAGTTGAGCCTCCAGGGCATCTCTCTGTGCCAAAGTGTGGCAATAACCTCATCCACCCATCCTTTTTGTTCATTCATTCCACCTAGGTTGACTAAGCACTTGCTCAGACCAGACACTGCTATCTTCATAGAAAACCCAGCCTCAGCTTAGTGCTACTGCAATGCTGTGGCTCCTCCAGCCCACCCCTCCCCTTCTTTCCTGCACCACCCCTAAGCTTCCAGACTCTTCTCTGACACTTGTAAGAACAGCAACCCCCATCAACAATGACTGATTTCTCTCTTGTCTTTTCCAACAGGTAGACTGAAATTACCATGTGTCCAAATTAAAATTGCCTACTTCAAGGATTATTTGAAGGACTATTCTTAGACCCTTTTAAGAAGATTTTTTTAAAAGTGAGTCAATTTTTTTTCCACTTCAGAGTATTCATGACTTAAGTTAATGTCACAGGTGCCCCCTCCTACCCTGCCTCTTAAATATGCACTAATAGGTAACTTCATCTCCATTTATTTTATAGTAAAGGTTTCCCCCCCCCTAAGAACAATGAGCAGGGAATATGTGTTTATTGCTATACTGATTCGCATATATTTCATAGCCTTATAGAATTTCAGAGATGAAAGGGTGTTAAAAGTGTGGAGTCTTTCTCACTGTCTGTCAGAGATTCCCATGAACCTCTGGGATCCTGGAAAGATCCCAGGAACTACTGGGGAAGCTGGTGTCTGTTCATATCCAGGCCTTTTAGAGAATTCTCTTACCTGTCAAAATTGGAAATCTGTGCCTCCTCCTCCTTCCATCTTGCCAAACCTTCCTGGCTAGACAATCCTAACCATGGCTGTGCACCAAGAGCACATACCCTTCCCCAAGATCATTTATTTAAATCCCCTGTTCCTCTAATAATTCCACATAGTTTCATTTCCAGGACAACTCCTGCTCAGTTCTTCGTACCAACTCAGCAAATGTCACCTTAAAAATGGAGCCAGCCTCTATAGAACACAGACTTTAGGGCACTGTGGGCACTGCTGGTGGGAGGGCCAGTGCAGAGGCAAGCCTGAGTTCTCATTCCAGTTTTGTTCATGCTGAGCCAGTGGCGGGAAAGCTGCTGTGTTATTCTGAGCTCAGAGTAGAGGAGGAGATGGGGTGAGATGCTTCCACAGGTGCTGCTCCCTCCACCCATATGCTTTGCTGATTCATAGTAAGGAAGTTGCCACTTCCGGAAGTCTCTGACGCTGGAAGTAAGTCAGGATTTGCTGGCCAGTGGGGCCTAAATCCAATCCTGGCTTTAAAGGCTTGCAGACTATGCATGTGGCTATACACTGTTGCTTCTCATCTGCAAATATCTAGCTCTTCACTTGTGAAATGGGGATGCTAATGTCTGTTGGAGAGGGTCTGTGTGACAATGTGGCACTTAGTACCTAGTTCCTAGGAGATTTGTAATCAATGAGAGTCCTTGAATTCATTAACTTGGGATGGAATTACTTATCTTTGGCTTTAAGAGAGGACAAGAGATGATGTTGAGGATAATAAAAAAGGAACAAGAAGAGATAACATGTTTATTAGGCATAAAGGAGAAATGTTCATACCTGATAAACTCCCATACAAACATAACCCCCGGCCAAGAAAGCAGATGAGGTTAAAACTCAGAATCTCATAAGGATAGATTGATTTTTGAAAAGGAAAAATGACAGTGGGTTCCAGAGCTGTACAAGCATTCCTATCCCTTAGCCAGAGTCACAGCTCTAGCCATAGACTGCAAGAACTCATATCCCTGGAACAAGGATCCTAGACTCACTGATGGGGCCATGCAAAGCATCGTGTATTTATGTATGCTTAGAAGGCTGTTGGGAGCGCCAGATGAGATACTGACTGGAAATGAGAGTTGTAAAGTGTAAAATTCCCTACATTTTTGTGCTTTTGAATTATATGTGCATTAGGGACTCTTAAACACTTTCAAAGCAACACAAGGCAAAATTCAGATGAGTGTGTGATGAGCCGCTCTAGTGCAGCTCACAGATTTTAGAGGAAAACAGATATATACATATATGTACATGTCTCTGTGTGTACACATGTTTATGTATGTGCCTCTGTATGTATGTTCAGGGGTATGTATGTGTGTGTGAAAACCTCCAGCCCTTTTACTATGACCAGTCTCTACACAGTGTCTGATTCTTGCCAATAAGTATAACCAGGCTATGAAGTCAGTCAACCTGACTCTATAGCTGAGTGTCAATTGACTAGCTCCATTATCTTGGATTAAATAAGGTCATCCTATTTGACAAGAATGGCACTGTTCCTGCCTTCCTGAAGCCTCAAGTCTGTGGAAAAAGCTGATCTGAAGAATTGGGATAAGGTTGCTTAGAATTACACCTCAACTAAGAACTTACTCTAGACTTGCAAAGCCAGGATCCTGTGGCCACTGGCTGCTGGCAGCATTAAAGGAGTGTGATCCTTACTTGTTGGATATAAAGGACCTCTGGGAACATCCTGGGTTCTTGGGACTATTTTTTGAGGAATTAGCCACCTCTGTGGATGAAGAGCCATATAGTTAACATATCCCCTCTCTGTGTCATGGTGTCCCACAACTCACTCATCCCTGAAGTCCTTTCCCTCAGGAGAATTGGATGTTACTGTCATGTAAGGCAGAAAATAGATTTGTTAGTTGATTTTAACTAAATAAAACTAATATCCTGGCCTTTGCTCTCCAGACAGCTACTGGATGCAGACACAAAAATGTTCTGACTGCTCTAGAGCCAGCCATGCCTTTAGGAGATATCTAGACCCACAGAAGCTACACAACCAATCTGAAGCCATTTCCAAATTGTGGATGATTCATTTGCAAGTCATGAAATTAATTTGGTGACTCAAGACCATCATTTATTAAAATTAAATAGAGTAACCCATTAACCCATAGGGAAGGGAGAATATTTTCATTGTATGTATTTAATTGTGTTTTTTTTTAATGGGGTCTCTTTGCTGTCCAGACTAGCCTGGAACCCATGATTCTCTTGATTTGTGTTTTTTTTAAATGGGGTCTCTTTGCTGTCCAGACTAGCCTGGAACCCATGATTCTCTTGTCTTAGTCTCCCCTCTGGAAAGCTGGGATTACAGGCTCACCCTGTCGTGCTTGACTCTTTAACAGTGATTCCCTTATCTAAAATCTATGCAATAGGGAAGAATCAGCTCTCCATGTAAGTTAATAAGAAAAAGACAAACAGCTCCTAAAAAAAAATGGACAAAAGATTTTGATATTTCTGAAAAGAGGATAGCAAAGCAACCAATAAGAATAAGGAAGTATTATTGTTGAGAAAATGGTACATGAAAACCAGGATGAAATGCTACCACCACCAGGCTTCCATTAGAAAGACTCAAATGGAAGAGATGGGCTTTACCTAATGTTGGTGGCCACAGAAAGCCACTGGTACACATTCACACTGGTTGAGTTGAATTGGTATGCTGACTTAGGAACACTGTTCAGCAGTAACAACCACTCGGAATGTGGGTATGCAAGCAGTTCCACTCTGTGGGGTACACGCATGAAGTGTACACGTGGGTGCATATGATATAAAATCACAAGTAGCACACAAGTGTGCCAAGCCCATGCCAAACTCAGGCTTTAATGGACAAAATACAGCCTCTTCCCACAATGGAGCAGCTCGTTCAGCAGTGCTAATGACCCCAGCAAACATAAACCTGAAAGACAGAAGCCAGGCACAAAGCTTTGTGACTCCCTTTTATAAAGTACAAAAGCAAGCAAAACAAATCTGTGCCCTAGGCATCTGGGGAGTGATTACCCTTAGGGGAGAATCTGGGGTCTGGGAGAGAGTGAGAAATGGCTTCTGAGGTACTAATGTTGTTCTGTCCTTTGATCTGAGGGCTTTTTACAATGGAGAATTTTTTTTTTCTTTTCACTCCCTTTGGTACGAAGGATTGAATTAAGGTCCTTATACCTAATACCTCAGTGAGAAACTGTATGCTACTGAGATATATACCTAGCCCTCTTTTTTAAAGGTAGGGGAGGGAGAAGAGAGATGGCAGAGGGAGAAAAAGAAAAAATACAACTAAGCTGCCATCTGGCCTTGTGATCACTTTAGAGTGAGGTTGACTTACTGTCCTTGTGCCGCAACCTCTTGAGAAGCTGGGATGATGTGCCGCCATCATCACCGGACCTGGCTTCCATTTGGTGTAGTTTCCACTGAGTTCTGATGGGCTCCTTCCACTGTACTTAGGTCACACTTTAATAAACAAATGCTTGTGACAGTAATGGGGGAAACACGGTGGGACATAAAGTTGGCATTGTTTGGTAACGCCTAGCCTCACCCTAGGTATGCCTGCAAGGTCCGGGTATTTCTTACTATGTATTTCTTACTATGAGTCACAGGCAGAGAGTAAGAGCTACCATTTTTAGGTGAGGAACCTGATGCCCAAAGAAGAATTAAGAGCAGAGGTAGGGTAGCACAGAGCTAGGTGGCAGCCTCACTGTGAATGGTAAAATGTGTAACCAGTTGTCACCAGATAGAGATGGATGGCATGGTGAGGCCAGATGGGTAGACCACTGAGTCTGGCACCGTCCTCAAGGGAGGCATCCCTGCACAAGATGACTGGGGATGGGGCGGGGGGGTGGGCACTGAGAGGCAACTGTTTTCCTCCCCAGCTACCTAGGCATGACTGTGGCTCCCCCCAATCTCTCCCCCCCCCCTCCCACCCCCCCC